GCACCGAGAGACCCCAAACCTTTCCAAAGGAGCTTTCTGAAACAAAAACACAACTCTTAAAACACTGTTTTCACTTGGCCTTTAGGGAAACAGTACAGCTGTACATCATAACATCATAAGGTACAGATTAGTAGGCTCTCCCCTCATGTTGTATTCTTTCCACTAAAATGAACCCAATATCCACCTTGTTGTGCTCTTTGCCTGGCCAGTGGAAAGACCTGCTTTTAGTCTGGTTTGCTGGTTTGCTGTTTGGTTGGCTGGTTTAAACAAAGCAAAAGTCTATTACTGGGGTCCCAGATTTACTAGGAGACATGCAATCTTTGGGGATATCATGATGATCCATAATTCACATGATGGCCTGTGTAGAAGAAGTATACCAAAATAATGTTTTTGGACAAGGAGGAAAAAAAATACACTCTACTGAGTGATCCTACCAAGAACCATCATCAAATGTCCTATCATTGCCATGCTTTGGTTTACTCTTATTCATGGCTGTATAATTTAGTCTTGCATTTAGCCATGTGGGTGGACACTGGCATTACTGAACACGAGTGTGGCTGAGCAGCTGAGACTAGGTCATCATTCACAGGTCACTACAGAGTAGAGGAGCCCCAATTAAGAATTTCATCTTCTTGATCATGAGAGGGACCAACACTCAATTAGAAGTAAAACTGCCAACGTCTGAGAGTGTAGCTCATTGGTACAGGATTTACCCAACACATGCCAAGTTCTGGGTTTAATCTCCAGCATTACCAACACATGCGCACACACCCCTGCTCGTATAACTTGAAGGCAATTTAGACAATGTTTCAAGAGTCATTGCCAAGCGTGGTGACAGACTAGCGCATGCCTGTAATCCAGCAGCTCTATTCAAGAGGCTGAGGCAAGAGAATCACAAAATCATTCCTGCCTGGGCAACTCAGCAAGACCTTGTCTCAAAATAAATAAAACGTGGTCAGTGGACAAGCACTTGCCTACTATGAATGAGACCCAAAGTTCAACCCCCAGAACTGAAAACATAAAAAACAACAACAACAACAAAAAAGAAAACTATTGCTTAAATGGAAGATCACCGGGTTTTAGAGAGATTAGCTATACTGCAAGTTCCATTCTGTATCTACAATTGACAGTATGCTATTATGAGTATAGCAATTTGCTAAAAAGGGGAAACTTCATGCTAACGATGATTACTGCAAGAACAAAAGAATTATTGTTTGCTTGACATTGTCAGCATATTGACTTTTAAACACATTAGACAATTCAGTGGCCTAATCAATAACGTTGGTACTTTCCACTTAGGCAAGGCCATTTTAGGTACTGGGTTCCATCGTCAGGTTGGTACCACCCCTATCTGTGACTGAAAACCTTAACTCCTTACCTCACACTGATTCAAAACACAACCGTTCAAAGCCTCAAAGCCATACCCAGTTCATGCAGTGTTCTGATTCCTCTCCTCCCTGTGGCCCAGCACACCTCCCCACCTCCCGGAAGACGCTGTGGCCTGGCTCCCAGGTCCCCTCTGCTCTGCCTCAGGGGACTGGCCATGGGTCTCTAGAAGCCACTCTAGTTACATTTGCAGAACTGTAGTCACTGGTGGTCAGCACAGACATGAAGGAGCCCGGTTCTTCCGGGGCAACTCTAAAGCTCACACAGAGCTCCCAGGAGGCCAGGCTGAGCTGTTCCTTCTGACTGCCGCCTGAGCACACAGCCCTGTGTGGCTTCCTCTTTTCCCAGGCTTCCCATCACTCCTAGGTCCTGAGGAAGCATTTCTTTAATGAAGAACTCATCTACACATCTTTGTCTGGGCACCCGGCTACTCAACATAAGGACTTCTTCTGGGGACGCTAACCTCAAGCATCCCTTTAGCTAGGTGACCTCACATGCTTTCCTATGTCCCCATGACGACTGCTGTCTCCCTCCCCTTCCTCTTCAACTCTGACTGGGTCAAAGTGGCACAACCGTTAAATGAGACTTTGTACATAAAAACATGTCAAAACCCACCAATGCTCCGAAAGTCTGAACAACGTTTAATAATTATCACTCTAAATCACCCAGCCTCCACAATCTGGCCCCAGTTGGGTGGGATGGTATATGCTCATAATCCTAAAACTCAGGACACAGAAGCAAGAGGCTTGTCAGTTCAAGTCCAGGCTAGGCTACACCGTATAAGATACTGTCTTAAAAATAAACTCTAGCCAGGCAGTGGTGGTGCACGCCTTTAATCCCAGCACTAGGGAGGCAGAGGCAGGTGGATCTCTGTGAGTTCCAGGCCAGCCTGGTCTACAGAGCGAGATCCAGGAAAGGTGCAAAGCTACACAGAGAAACCGTCTCAAAAAAAAAAAACAAAAAAAAAAAGAAAAAGAAAAAGAAAAAAATAAACTCTAAAGAAAATTAAAAGATGATAATCTAGTGTCAACTTCCCCATGAAGAGGTGGCTCACAGTTCTCTCTATGCCAATTCTATGTGGTCACCTACCTCCTTACCTGCTATGGGAGGGTCTATGATGCCCAGAGTCTGTCTTGCTCACCATGGTGCCTCAGCACCTTAGGTAGGCGTCTAACACACTGGACAAGTTTAGTGAGCACATGTTGGGTAACGTCACTAAGCTTCAGAATAGAAAGGACTTGCTTAAGACACCAATCAGATGAGCAGAGGCACCAAGGTTGCAGCCTTGATCTCTGCCAGACCTGAGAACTTTCCATGTGAGACTCCACCTCCTAGTGCTCTGTCTTCCTTGACAGGCAGCAGAAATGGAAAACTACAGTCCCTTCTCCTCCAATCAGAACCCTGGCATCCAGGGTACTGGCAACCAGCAGTGACCCGTGGGATGCCTTGTCCTGATGGCTCAGGTTATTACAGCTGGGGAGTGCCATGCAAGTCATTCCTATTTCCTCAACTTGAAGCTTCCCAGAGGCAGAGATGCTGTTGAATTCACCTTCCCCGCCATCCACAGGAGCTAGAGAGCTATCAGAAGGAGAGAGAGGGAGAGGGAGAGGGAGAGAGAGAGAGAGAGAGAGAGAGAACAGAAGTGAAGAATATGAAGGATCCAGCTTCGCACGCACACATACACTCTCCCCCAAGCTCTACCTTTCCAGCCTGGTCAACATGAATGGATTTCAGTGCCAAGGGCTCAGGATCAGTCAGAAGATTTCATGGGATACACAAGAGACCACACACGATGGCTGGTGTACAGTGAGCCCTCAGTCAACAGTGATGGAGACAGGCTCATCATCACCAGGTACTGGGAGGTTCAACCAGGCGACGATCAGAGACACCTGGGTCCTGCAAACTTACTAATGCTCGTTAAATCATTATCATACCACGTAAACCACCCCCTTTCCCCTATAAAAAGAAGGATATCCAGTCACCCAAGCACAGTTCTCACAGTGGCCCTCCGCAAGAACAGGCCAACTCCCCCAGAGAGTCCCAGGCTGTAGGTGGTACTGGATCTGGATTCTGTCCCTGCTCCCAGGAGAGCAACATTAGACCCCCCCTCCCTTCCTCTGACAGCCTCATTCACTACCCCTCTTCAGTCTTTTATTCATTCCTTTATGCAGGGAGTACACATTCAACCAACCCCAGACACTGTAGATCAGCTTGAGCACATAAGCTCTGCCCTCCACAGCCTCCCAGGCTGTGTCTTCCATGCTCTTTCTTAACCAGAAACTTCATTTACAGGCTTTTCTTCCTCTCAAAGCCACGCCAAGATAACTGTCTTGTTGTGAGCAGCAATGGTAGGGGTCCGGGACTCAGATGGACAGGCACATAGCCCCAGTTCTGCCACTGCCTTTTTATTTAACACGGTGCGGACTTCTGCTCCACACCACCTCCCTCGCATTCAAAATGAGGGCAGGAGCACCATCTACCTATCCATTTCCACCAGAGTGAAGCAAAAACCCAGCAAAGGCAGGGCGTGGTGGCACCCACCTTTAATCCCAGCACTCGGAGGCACAGGCAGGTGGATCTCTGTGAGTTCGAGGCCAGCCTGGTCTACAGAGTGAGTTCCAGGACAGTCACCAAACTACACAGAGAAACCCTGTCTCGAAGAAAAAAGAAAGGAAAGAAAGGGAGGGAGGGAGAGA